ATTTTTTTTTTTTTTTTTTTTTTGTATTTTAAACCATTTTTCTTCTTTCAAACAGTTTAAATTTGTAGTTTCCGTGTAAAAAAATTCCCTAGAAAATTAAAGTTCTTGATGAACTCACATTTTGTTTTTTAAAATGTTTTTATAAATTGGAAATAGTCATATAACTTGCGGATCAAAGTAGTTGTCACATACACCAACCTAATGATTATACTCCTTACCTTTTTATTTAATGCATAAGTTATGTTGATTTAAAAGTTTTTGGCTTCTTATACAATATATGACACATCTTACATGAACTAATTAATGATCACACAACTTTAGTATAAGCCAAAAACTATACTAATTAAATGAGATTAAAAAAAAGAAAAGAAAAGACCCCAACAAGAGTGATAGTGTGGGCCTATTTGTAGAGAAGGCCCATTATGATTTATGTAATTTCCTAATTTACCCCGGCGACGTAAAAGATGAGGATGAAAGAGATGATCGACGTGGTGGTGGTAGTCCGAAGAGTTCAGCAGTGACAGACGCAGGAAACCAGATTATGGACGCAGGAGTGCAGCAACTTATGAATGACGCATGAGTCCAATAAACACCTAAGGTATTAAACCTCTTTAACCTTCATACTACTATGTCAGTGAATGATGAAAATATTCATTAAAATAAAATTTTCATTTTTTCTAATTTTTCTCGAAATATGTGGGTTAACCCCTATAGAAAATTGAGTTTTTCGATAAATTTTATATTAAAAGTTTAGGCTCTTTGTTGTTTATGAAAATTACCCAATCACATTCCAAATTTGTAGTAATGTACACTAAAATTATTTTCATGGTACATAGACATCATTTCAAATTTTCCAACAGGTAATTTAATTAAATTTCATATACAACTTAATCAATGGACAAACCCTCTAGAAAGAAAATTCTATTTTCTGGAGAAATATGAACACCTAAGGTTTCAAACCTCTTTAACCTTCATACTATGTCAGTGAATGATGCAAATATGCATTAAAACAAAATTTTCCTATTTTCAATTTTTCTCGAAATATGTGGGTTAACCCCTACAGAAAATCGAGTTTTTCGATAAATGCTATGTTAACAAGTTTATGCTCTTTATTGTTGATGAAAATTACCCAATCACATTCTAAATTTGTATTAATGTATATTAAAATTATTTTGCACACATGGACATCATTTCAAATTTTCTAACAGGTAATTTATTTAAAATTCATATACCACTTAATCATTGGACAAACCCCCTATAAAGAAAATTCTATTTTCTGGAGAAACATAAACACCTAAGGTTTCAAACCTCTTTAACCTTCATACAATGTCAGTGAATGATGCAAATATGCATTAAAACAAAATTTTCATATTTTCAATTTTTTCTTGAAATATGTGGGTGAACCCCTACAGAAAATCGAGTTTTTCGATAAATGCAATGTTAACAAGTTTATGCTCTTTATTGTTGATGAAAATTACCCAATCACATTCTAAATTTGTATTAATGTATATTAAAATTATTTTCACACATGGACATCATTTCAAATTTTCTAACAGGTAATTTATTTAAATTCTATATACCACTTAATTAGTGGACAAACCCCCAATAAACAAAAATTCTATTTCCGGAAGAACATGAACACCTAAGGTCTTAAACCTCTTTAACCATCATACTATGTCAGTGAATGATGAAAATATGCATAAAAACAAAATTATCATATTTTCTAATTTTTCTCGAAATATGTGGGTTAACCCCTATAGAAAATCGAGTTTTTCGATAAATGCTATATTAAGAAGTTTAGGCTCATTCTTGTTGATGAAAATTACCCCATCACTTTCAAAATTTGTAATAATGTACATTAAAATTATTTTCTTGGTACATGGACATCATTTCAAATTTTCCAACTGGTAATATATTTAAATTTCATATATCACTTAATCATTGCACAAATCCCCTATAAAGAAAATTCTATTTTCTGGAGAAACATGAACACCTAAGGTATCAAACCTCTTTAACCTTCATACTATGTCAGTGAATGATGCAATATGCATTAAAAAATTTTTTTCTTCATATTTTCAACTTTTTCTCGAAATATGTGGGTTAACCCGTATAGAAAATCGAGTTTTTCGATAAATGCTATATTAAGAAGTTTAGGCTCTTTCTTGTTGATGAAAATTTTCCCATCACTTTCCAAATTTGTAATAATGTACATTAAAATTATTTTTATGGTACATGGACATCATTTCAAATTTTCCAACATGTAATTTATTTGAATTTCATATACCACTTAATCAATGGACAAACCCCCTATAAAGAAAATTATATTTTCTGAAGAAACATGAATACCTAAGGTCTCAAAATTCTTTAACCTTCATACTATGTCAGTGAATGATGCAAATATGCATTAAAATAAAATTTTCATATTTTTAATTTTTCTCAAAATATGTGGGCTAATCCCTAAAGAAAATCAAGTTTTTCTATAATTGCTTTATTAAAAAGTTTAGGCTCTTTATTATTGATGAAAATTACCCAATCACATACTAAATTTGTATTAATGTATATTAAAATTATTTTCATGGTACATGGATATCATTTCAAATTTTCCAACATGTAATTTATTTAAATTTCATATACCACTTAATCAGTGGACAAATCCCCTATAAAGAAAATTCTATTTTCTGAAGAAACATAAACACCTAAGGTTTCAAACCTCTTTAACCTTCATACTATGTCAGTGAATGATGCAAATATGCATTAAAACAAAATTTTCATATTACAGCTTTTCTCGAAATATGTGGGTTAACCCCTACAGTAAATTGAGTTTTTCGATAAATGCTATATTAAGAAGTTTAGACTCTTTATTGTTGATGAAAATTACCCAATCACATTCTAAATTTTTATTAGTGTAGATTAAAATTATTTTCATGGTACATGGACATTATTTGAATTTTTCCAACATTTAGTTTATTTAAATTTCATATACCACTTAATTAGTGGACAAACACCCAATAAACAAAAATTATATTTTCCGGAGAAACATAAACACCTAAGGTTTTAAACCTCTTTAACCTTCATACTATGTCAGTGAATGATGCAAATATGCATTAAAACAAAATGTTCATATTTTCTATTTTTTCTCGAAATATGTGGGTTAACCCCTATAGAAAATCGAGTTTTTCGATAAATGCTATATTAAGAAGTTTAGGCTCTTTGTTTTTTATGAAAATTACCTAATCACATTCCAAAATTTGTATTAATGGACATTAAAATTATTTTCATGGTACATGGACATCATTTCAAATTTTCCAACAGGTAATTTATTTAAATTTAATATACAACTTACTTAGTGGACAACCCCCTATAAAGAAAATTCTATTTTCTGGAGAAACATGAACACCTAAGGTTTCAAACCTCTTTAACCTTCATATAATGTCAGTGAATGATGCAAATATGCATTAAAACAAAATTTTGATATTTTCAAATTTTTCTCGAAATATGTGGGTTAACACCTATAAAAAATCGAGTTTTTCGATAAATGCTATATTAAGAAGTTTAGGATATTTCCTGTTGATGAAAATTACCCCATCACTTTCAAAATTTGTAATAATGTACATTAAAATTATTTTCATGGTACATGGACATTATTTGAATTTTCCAACATGTAGTTTATTGAAATTTTTATATACCACTTAATTAGTGGACAAACCCCCAATAAACAAAAATTCTATTTTACGGAGAAACATAAACACCTATGGTTTTAAACCTCTTTAACCTTCATACTATGCCAGTGAATGATGCAAATATGCATTAAAACAAAATGTTTATATTTTCTATTTTTTCTCGAAATATATGGGTTAACCCGTATAGAAAATCGAGTTTTTCGATTAATGCTATATTAAGAAGTTTAGGCTCTTTGTTGTTTATGAAAATTACCCAATCACATTCCAAATTTGTATTAATGTAAATTAAAATTATTTTCATGGTACATGGACATCATTTCAAATTTTCCAACAGGTAATTTACTTAAATTTCATATACAACTTAATCAGTGGACAAACCCCCTATAAAGAAAATTCTATTTTCTGGAGAAACATAAACACCTAAGGTTTCAAACCTCTTTAACCTTCATACAATGTCAGTGAATGATGCAAATATGCATTAAAACAAAATTTTCATATTTTTAAATTTTTCTTTAAATATGTGGGTTAACCCCTACAGAAAATCGAGTTTTTCGATAAATGCTATGTTAACAAGTTTATGCTCTTTATTGTTGATGAAAATTACCCAATCACATTCAAAATTTGTATTAATGTATATTAAAATTTTTTTCACACATGGACATCATTTCAAATTTTCTAACAGGTAATTTATTTAAATTTCATATACCACTTAATCAGTGGACAAACCCCCTATAAAGAAAATTTTAGTTTCTGGAGAAACATGAACACCAAAGGTCTAAAACTTCTTTAAACTTCAAACTATGTCAGTGAATGATGCAAATATGCATTAAAATTTTTTTACATATTTTCTATATTTTCTATTTTTTCTCGAAATATGTGGGATAACTCCTATAGAAAATCGAGTTTTTCGATAAATGCTATATTAAGAAGTTTAGGCTCTTTCTTGTTGATGAAAATTACCCCATCACTTTCCAAATTTGTAATAATGTACATTAAAATTATTTTCATGGTACATGGAAATCATTTCACATTTTCCAACAGGTAATTTATTTAAATTTCATATACCACTTAATCAGTGGACAAATCCCCTATAAAGAAAATTCTACTTTCGGGAGAAACATGAACACCTAAGGTCTCAAACCTCTTTAACCTTCATAATATGTCAG